CCAATATGGTTGCTCCCTAGCTTGAGCGTGATTTGTTCGTGCCACGTACCCGTGACAGTAGCACGCGCGCTCCGGCGAGCTTGTTGTCCCAGCTGAACATGTCGACGCTGTCGTTGTCCTCCAACGAGTAGAGGTAGCCGAGGTGCGAGGAGTTCTTGGTCGCCCAGAGCAGCCACGCCGACCCCCACAAGAGCTCGTCCTGCAAAGGGGAAACCACGCTCGAATTAGTCGATCAATCAATGATCACTGGTTGATCCCGGAGGTTCGATTTGATTCGGGAACGACCTTGTAGCCGGAGTATGACTGGTAGTAGGCGCCGATGTCGCCGCCGACGAAGTCGCTATACTTCCCCTGGTGCCGCACGGCGAGCTCCATCACGCCCCGTGCCGCGGCGAGCAGCATCCTGGAGTAGGCCCGGTCGGCGGCCCTGAACACCATGCTGGCCGCAGCGAGCGCGGCCGCCGTCTCGCCGGCGACGTCGGATCCCGGCGCCGACGCGGACACCGCGTACACGGTCCTCGGCGTGTCCATGTCCTCGGGCCGCTCCCAGCACCGGTGGTCCGCGTCGGGGTCGCCCACGCCGACGTAGAGCGCGCCCGGGGTCTGCGTGGCGGCCTTGAGGAGGTAGTCCGCGCCCCACCGCACGGCGGCGCGAGCGTCGTGCACGCGCGCCTTCATCTTCCCGCCGTGCTCCAGGACGCCCCACGACAGCATCGTCGTCGTGAACGCCATCGGGAAGCCGAACTTGGCGTTGTCGCCGCCGTCGTAGTACCCGCCGGTGAGGTCGACCTGCCGCGCACGTTTCACGGTTTCAGAGATAACAAGAAAGGTCAACGTAAGTCCAAGCCCCACTGAACCAGGTCAAAGCGCTGACCACGTTCAAACAAACACACACGTCTTCTACAACAGGAAGTATTGGATTAGTGTGCAGGCCGGGCCCACGTACGTTTGCGGCCGAGCCGTCGGAGAGGCCGGAGTCGGACCGCCACGTGACGGCCTGGTCCGGCGGCAGCTGGCCGGACCTCTGCCCCTGGAAGAAGAGTATCGCCTTCGCGAGCGCGTCGGCATAATCGGGGTGTCCGCCGGCAGCGACATGGCTGGAGCGGGCAAGGAAGCAGACAGCGACGGCGAGAAGCACTAGAGCCTGCGGTGATGATGGCGATGGCATCGTCCTCGATCGTGCTGCCAATGCAGCTCGATTCGACAAGGCAGAGCTCATCATCATCTTCTCCGCCGCGCAACGCTCCCGGCCGAGTGTATAGTGCATCGCGCCGCGCGATTTTATACGGCGAGGTTGCTGCATGGTGGGGGCTTTGTTTATGTTATCATCTTATCTCAGTCGAGCTCGATCTTGCTCCGAGAAGCGCGCGAGTCAGAGCCGCCGATTGGTAACTGCGGTAGCATGGATACATGATCCAAGATTGGTCCTAATAATCCACGGTTGTTCATGATGATGTGGCGCGTTGCTAACTCCATTATCAGTGTTTGGAGTATTGCTCTGAAGGTAATCATATTGCAAGGGAAGGAACGCTTCAGAACAATAAATCTGTGATTGGGTCTTTTCGAGGAATGGTACTGTGAGACTAGTAGTAGATGTAGAACTTAAATGACGATCTCGTTCAGCGGGATCTTCTCTCGGTTTGTGTTTCTTGATCGGAATTATATTGTGGCTCGGAGCTTGCGATCATTCCGGAGGGGGCGGGGGTTGCTTGAGTGTGACTTAAAGGTGCAGGACAGTGGTGGAATCAGGGCGTGTTAGCTGCAGTTACTGATGGGTGGACAGAAGTGGCTGCTCCTGCTCTCGAGTATACAGTATGGCTGAATGCTATCTAACGAGGGGAACGTGAAACTGCGTATGTGATGTGAGATGGGATGGGAGCCAAAGGTCTCCAGTCCAATTGCTGAGAACGTTCCAGCGGTACTCTTCAGGTTCTGGTTCAACTTCTCGTGGGACCGAATTTTAGACTAGGGTTAAAAAATCATTTCGTCTGTTCCACGCCAAAACATAGGTCTAAGGAACGGACAGAGGTTCGGGGATTTTCTGAATCTGCGTGACAAGGTTCTTCTTCTTAATGCAATACCCGAGGATGGCTTCCCCCCACAGGTCCAGTTTTTTTAGATGGGATGAGAGATACTAGGAATAAGCCGAGGACCCAGGAGAATGAACAGCTACCATGTCGGATGCTCAGGGAACGGAATTGCATATACCGACGAGAAATCAGGATCCAGGACTGCATTATCCTGGCGAAAACACGAACGCACCAAAATAAAGAACTAAAAAAAAGGAAAACACCAACACACCAAAATATAAACGTGGACGGTAGGATTCGAACCTACGCGGGCGAAACCCACATGATTTCTAGTCATGCCCAATAACCACTCTGGCACGTCCACCTGATCTACTTACTATATATTGAAAAATTATGAGTACAGGCGTTGTCACCGATAATAGACTCAGTGACCAGTAGCATAGCATGAGCTAATCGTCGTCGTGCACGGACCAGCCAGCAGGCGAAGTCGATTCGGAGGTCTGCTGCCTTTGTGCACATCCGGCGATACGTGCACAGTTGCTGCGGCGCTGCCTCTCTGTACAGGTTCCCTCTCGTTTGGATTTATTTTTCTTGATACCTAAAAGGTTTGCGTGTTATTGTATTAAGATAGAAAAAATATTCAATATAATATATCTTAGCGGCGTCCTAGGAGGTCCTAGTGCATTCGTGCTCTGGCCACCGGGGCAACCGAGCAAGGGTCCGATTTCGTTGGTCCACTCAATGGACATTCTTTTTAAATCTCACGTCTAAAGGTCATTTGGATCATTTTATTTGGAGGAATTAAAATCTACTTAAAAAATTAAGCTATATGGCTTGGAATTTGACATTCACCACTTTATAAAGTTTACATATAAGCCTATATCAAATTCATAGGGTGGGGGATGAAAATGGATTATATAGATCACCATGTTATGTTTCTACCTTGTAACTTATAACATCTTCTTCTCTCACTCACCTACGGTAGAAATGCAACATGTAAGTATCTCTCTCGTATATCCAACAATAATATACGAATATAGTTTATATACAACCATATTAGCTTAATTAACATGTGTCTAAATTATTATTATAAAAAAGAATTCAATTCCAAAGATCCAAACGGGCCTAATAGTTAATTATAATTTTACTTATGCATAAAAATTCTACAAAAAAATAACAATATTTTGTATTTAGAGAGCCACATAGCTTCTCCAAAAGTGGAGAGCAAGAAAGGCGGGAAAGATAGAGAGTGGTGGTACAGAGAGTTTATTGAAGCATGTTTCTTGTTTGTTTTCTAAATTTTATGATAGCTCGCAAATATGTTCGCGCGTTATAATTTGATGTACAATTTGTTGTCCGACACTTATGCCAATGATAATGAGGTAACTTTTGTTGGATTTAATTGAACTTAGCCCAACCTTAAATCAAATAAATCCCAAGAACCATAATAAATGCAAGAGCTATAAAAGATAATCATGTACTCTTGCATTTATTATGAGTATGGCAAATTGAGATGATATTGATTTAACTTAAATAAATGACTATTGTGTGCACTTGTGAGTTTAAGAAAGGTGAAAGACAACTATATTATGAGTGGTGCAACGCCAACAAAGGTTTTAAAGCTCCAAACTTAAAGAGGACATGGGATAGAGTGAGAGATGGAACGAACGAAGGTTATGTAACTCCAAACTTAGGGCAGTGCAGAGAGTGAGAGAGGAAACCGATGAAAGTTTTGCGGATCCAATTTCCAAAAGGACGTGGAAGAGAGTGAGAGACAGAAGAGCTCCAAACTCGATAAGGACGATGAAGAGAGCAGAGATGGATGGATGGACGTAGGAGAGAGTGAGAGATGGTACAAAGATTTCTTTTAACCTTTTAATATTAGGTATAGATATAAATGTAGAAAAGCCACTTAAAATGTTTCTTAGATAATACACAACAATTGCTTATTGCTTACGAGTTATTTCTTTCGTTCTAAATTATAAGACATGTGACTTTTCTAGATACACTTGTTTTTAATATGTATCTAAACATAGTATAAATCTAAATGCATAATAAAAGCTATATATATCTAGAAAAGCCAAAATGTCTTACAATTTAAATGGAGAGATTATAATTTTACAAACATGATGAGATGCCATTACGATTTTTTGGATACACAACAATTGCTACGAGTTACTGCTTTCCGTATTAAAATATGTGTACTTTTAGCATTTAAAATTTATCCTATAATAAATATGCACACTTCTAGATAATGGACTATCTAGATTTTACAGGTTTTACTACTTTCTCAGTTGTTAAAGTGTAATTATTACATGATGGAACAATTTAGGTATTATCACTTCCTTCATCATAAATTGGCCCCGTTCGTTTGGCTGAAAATGGCTGAAAACACTGTTCCGGCTGAATTGTTGTGAGAGAAAAACACTGTTGCGGCTGAAAAAAGAAGCCGAATCAACCTCTAGAGTTGTCCTAAGTCAAGCTATTTTAAAATTAATTAAATTTATAAAAAATATGACACTGAACTAGTATTACTAGGTCCACTATGGATTATATTTTCTTAATGCGCTTATTGGGTGTCTAGATGTTATTTTTCTTTCTTATAAAATTGGTAAAATTTAAGAATTTGATGCTATGAATTAACTTATTATAAGATGGGGAAAGTATGTGTATTTATAGTTTTACATTATAGTACCATTATTTTTTCAAAATATTGTACAGTAGAAGTGTATTTATTTAGGAACATGATTTGTACCCAAGAAAAAGACAAACATAAAACCACTTCCTCCGTAGAGAGCGTTTTCTGACTTCGGAATCGGCCGTTCTCTCTGGCCTCTGGGCTCTTCTGTTTCCTTTGGTCACTCTCCTCGCCGTCGTGTTCCCCTCTGGCTCTGAGTCTCGCGGCTTCTTCTCGCGGGCACCACCGGCCGCTTCCTTTGCCACCGTAGTCCCAGGCTCCCAGCGCCGTCCATGGACCCCCCGCCGCTCTCCTCGTTGCAGGAGGAGGGGAGGAGGAGCCCACCGTCGAGGACTCGTCCGCCTTCTCCCGCCGCCGCCGTCCCGCCTCGCCCCGCCACGCAGTAAGCCACCCGTCACCCGCCCCTCTCCCCGCAACACGTAACACACACACACACACACACACACACACACACACACACACACACACACTTCTCGCACCTCCTAATTCCCCTTTCGGAACTGCGATGCCCTAATTCGGTGCCTCTGCAGCAGTCACTCGCTCCACAAGTACGCGCCGCTGGACTGGTCCGCCTACTTCGACGAGGAGCGCCGCGTAGCCATCCCCGACACCGACGACGTGGGTCTTGGGCTTTTGGCCTTAGCCGGAGTTCTCTCGGGTGCTTCTGTTACCCGATGCGATCTAAATGTTGGATCCTCCTCTTTTCTTATATATATTTTTTTCTCTAATTATTATAGGTTTTCAACGTGTACACGGCCGGATCGGAGGGGCCCGTCGTGTTCTGCCTGCACGGAGGTGGCTACTCAGGGTAAGTAGGCGCCGAGGTTTATCTACGAATAGTCTACACGTTTTGCTGGTGAATTGTGCAAATGTCCATGTGTTGGGATTTGCAGGAAATGCTTAGCATGGGCACTGAGGTTGATTGGGATGGGTTCAATCTAAACTCTAAATAGTCTTTAGTCTTGCACTGTAAACGTATTGGTGAGGAACTGGGGATGGAGCATAAAAGAATTTTTAAGCAACAGCTGCTATCTGTGACATTCAAAGTTGTGGGGGCAAAGTTAGTGCGTATTAATGAGCTTAAGGGCTGCGCTTGAATAAACCAGTGTGAAATGCTTATTTTGTGAAATTAAGAGTTGTGTGTGCATCTTGCTGGATTTCCAGAGCAATCCTTTTGGAACCTTTTTTTTCCCACTGTGTGTTATTGAAAACGTAGAAATCACATCTTCTGCTGCGGTTGTGAAACATTTTGTTGAATTTCATTTTTGGTTAACTATTAACCCACAGTAGGGCACATGTTGAATGTACAGATGCTGCAATAAAATGTTTTCTTCCCGACAATGTTCACAATTGATCTTTATTCTTGGTATGGTTCTAAATAGCTAGCTATAGCTGTGTTATACATGCCTCTATAGGTGTTTTAGTATATATTGGTGCCTTTCCGCTACAAACACGATTTGAAACCTTGCTCGGTAGGGAAGCATGTGAAGACAATTTTTTCCCGAAATCTTGTAATGCCTGCTTTAAATGACTTCCCTTATGCAATGTTGCCATAGCAAACTTGTCTATTGGAAAAAGATGTGCTTAATTTGCTGCAATTATTCTTTGATCTGCCTTAGGCTTTGCTTGGTAGGGAAGCATGTAAAGACAATTTTTCCCGATAATCTTGTAGCGCCTGCTTTAAATGACTTGCCTTCTTATGCAATATTGCCATAGCAAACTTGTCTATTGGAAAAAGGTGTGCTTACTTTGCTGCAATTATTCTTTGATCTGCCTTAGGCTTTCATTTGCTCTAACAGCAAGTCGAATGAAGGACAAGGCTCATGTTGTTGCCATGGATCTACGGGGGCATGGGAAATCAACAACGATTGATGATCTGGATTTGTCCATCGAAGTATGTTCATCATGTTTCCAGACTTCTTTTCTATAATCATAATGGTTACGCTCTCATTCTTATTTAGTTAATTGGTGGCTGCACTTCTGTTACATAAGTTGTTTTGTGATTGGCTCATTGCTGGACCATTTCAGTCTTTAAAAGCGTTTTTGTTTGCCTCTGCAGACTCTTACCAATGATGTCATAGCTGTTATAATGTACAATGTATGGAGATTTGCCACCAGCAATTATACTCAAGTGGGCATAGGTGAGTCAGCAGCATGCATTTTTCCCTTTTGTTTTCTTCTGTTGTGCCCACATTATCTGAATTAGTCTACAAATGGTTAACTAACCCTAGATGAGGCTTTCCGAAGACAATATAAACAGAGGAGCAAATTACCTAAATAGACCCTGAAAAGTTATTTTTTTGAAACTTCCACTGAAACACCATGCTCTTAGTCGGTTCCAGCTTAATATATGTTATCGCTTTGCTTTATAGAATTCCTCCTTTTATCTTTTAAATTCAGCCAGCCCGTTTGTATAGAATATTTCTATTTCTATCTATAGCTTAAAGCATTGAAAAACCTTACTAATAGAATGGTTGAACTTCCTTTTTAGCATGGGTGGTTCAGTGGCTGTACATGTGGCTGCAAGAAAAGAAATTCGAAATCTTCATGGGCTTGTTGTCGTTGATGTTGTTGAGGTTAGTAAGAGTTTTTCCTTATTGGCATCTTACTTTGTGGTTGTTCAATCTGAATCATTATTACTGATTCTGGCATATCTTTATTCTAAACAGGGAACAGCAATGGCTTCACTGGTTCATATGCAGAAGATCTTAGCAAATCGTGCACAGCATTTTCCTAGCATTGAAAAAGCAGTATGTTGATTTCGATCTACATTGTTTCTGACACCTCAAATCAGCTTTGAATGTGTGTAGTTATCCATTGTCCTCAGTATCTTAAGAGATATCTCGTTCATCACTTTAAGCTGAAAGGAGTAACTGTCAGTCACATATGAGTGGCAAAATATTCAGTGCAAACCACATCTTTGGTGCAATCGTGAAAACCCTTTGCAAAACCATACTTAGGAGTTTTCAAAAAATTTGAAACTATGCACACCAATAGTGCATCTGTAGATGTGCATTGTCACAAAGTTTGAGATTCAAACTCGTTCTGCAAAAATTCATATGAAAATAACAAATTTCATTGGCATATGCACTAGTAGAGGACAAAATTCATATGCCAATGAAATTTGTTATTTTTATATGAATTTTTGCAGAACGAGTTTGAATCTCAAATTTTGTGACAATGCACATCTACAGATGCACTATTGGTGTGCATAGTTTCAATTTTTTGAAAACTCCTAAGTATGGTTTTAATGGGGTTTTCATGGATTGCACCGAAGATGTGGTTTGCACTGAATATTTTGCCTGAGTTGTGTATATACGACATGGACACAAACATGCAAAGGCTGAAAATAAAATGGAAGAACAACTATACAATGAAACTAATTTCCATTTTGAATCAGTGTCATGCGTATTAAACCATGCAATTATAACCATTCTTGCTAAGGCAGCAGTTGATATTGTTAAAATTATTTCCCCGCCTTATTTCTTGTTCAGTCAATTTCGGAATTATGCAGATTGAGTGGAGTGTCAAAGGTGGGCCATTAAGGAACATCGAGTCTGCTCGTGTGTCCATTCCATCTACCTTGAAATACGATGAATCACGAGAATGGTGAGCAGTATTTTGAGTAGTGCATGTTTTTAGTACTGTATCTCACAGGTCTATGCCCATAAAGAATCATGCTGGCCTGTTGGCCACCATTGCAAATGTAGTATTGTTATTATTTCCAAAACTAATTATGCTGTCATACTTTGTTTCAGCTATACATATCGCACTCCTCTTGAGCAAACAGAAAAGTACTGGAAAGGATGGTATGCTTTCAATGTGATGTTTCCTTTTTTAAAAAGAAAATCTGTCATTTACTCATGTTTTGTAAAATCGTTTTGTCTTCTGATGCCCTTTTTTTTTTTACTAATTCTCTTCTGTGATTAGTTGATACTAAAGTGCATGTGTTTCTTTGTTAGGTATGAAGGTCTTTCAGACAAGTTCCTATCTTGCCCAGTGCAAAAGATCCTGTTGTTAGCTGGTACTGACAGACTAGACAGGTTTGTTATGTTCGAGTACGAGGAATTATCTATTTTCTAGTCCATGTTCATGATGTTTACTCAACATTTAATTTCATCACCTTTTGCTAGTGACTCAACTCACTAGCATTCAATGTTTTGCTGCTTGTCAGTTGCAAGAGATTGGGCTTGCAAAGTCAGCCTGTAGCATATATATTTTATGAATTTTAGTCTATCAGCTGTTGATTATCACTGATAAACTATAAATCAAAAGGTAGCAAAAGTCAATTGCTTGTCATGATTATGGTTCACAAAATATGGAAATTCTTGCCAGGCTTTGCTGCTAGAGCTTTTGAATGACAAATCGGATGGGTGCTAATCAATTATCAAAATGCTGCTTTTATTGAAGTGAAGCCTCTTGTAAAATTGTTTGTCATGTTCTGAAATGTCGCTTTCATTGGATGTGGAATCCTATTGTCGTTATAGTTAAGTGTTCTGAAACATCAAACACCTTCGATCACTCGACGATACACTATTGAAGATAAATTGTGTAATTTATTGGTTATTTGCTTTACATTTTGCAGAGCTTTAACAATTGGTCAAATGCAAGGAAAGTTTCAAATGGTGGTGGTTCGGCACACTGGACATGCCATACAGGTTGGTTCTTAGTATGTTTGAGTTATGTCAATATACGAGTCCCTTGCATCATTCTTTCGAGGTTAGGAGCTTCTGTACCATTCCTCTAGATTCATTCAGTTCAGTTGTTATTTCTAGAGCTTGTGATGATCCTGCTCTGCCTGAATGCTCTAGGGCTACTTTAAAAATTTTACTGATTTGCCTACACATAGCAATAGCAGGAACTAGCAATGAAAGGTTCATTCTGAGTGCTGTTTATTGGTCTGTGAACTTCTTTTCTTTTGGAAGCATTGGTTTAGGAATATAGTTTTAGCCAACGAATTACAAATCTTTACCACTTTTGACACATCATCAAATCGTTATTTCAGGAAGATGTACCTGAAGAATTCGCATCGCACATACTGAATTTCATATCCCGCAACAGAATAGGGCCGAACGGTGTCGAGGTCAGTAATGAACCTATCGTTTGCTCTCACCTTTACTATTTGATGAAATATATGCAATTTCTCCCCCTTTTCGTTTCCTTGCCTTGACCTAATATTTGGCACTTCACTTTTCTCAGATACCTGGGCTAATTAAAAAATGGCAGCACTAGACATAATATACAAGTTACTGTTCTAGTATTGGCGGTGTTCAGGAAAATGATGAGTAGATCTGCCTATCCGAGTTCTCTTCCTGTCGAAGAGAAAAAAAGGTTCAAGATGATCATTCAAGCGTGAACAATCAATTATTGGTTTCATCATCTGGTGGCAAACTCCCCCATGTCGCATGAGTTACTTTGTTTATGACATCACTCTGCGACCTGCCGGTGTCTTTTGTACGAGGGTTCTTGTATGTCTGTATGTAAAGCTGAGTGCATTGTAATGCTTTCCGTGAGGTTATTATACTCCTATCAAGCAGGATAAGCACTTTATGATAGCTCTATCTGCTGGCTTCGACAAGCTTAGTGGGAATCAATCGGAGAAGCCTGCTTTGAGAAGCAATTTTCAAAAGCCACACAAATTATCTTTGCAACGGAGCCGAGACGAGCAAAAACCCAAATAACTATGCCCGTGCATGGGATGATCTTTGTGAAAGGTGTACCAAATCCAAACATACTGTAGTATTTAGCAGCTGAAGACGGAGAAAAGGCCCAAAAAATAAAACGTCTGTCAAGCATTGTGCCTAAACATTTGAAATTAATCCTACATGGTTAGCAATTCGGCTGTGAAGTACAGTACTAATCCGGTGTAGAAGCCCAAACATTTTTATTTGCGCCTAGTGGGACAGCTGGTTTCCGGCATTTCTGCTTCGTGAAACCAACACACTCAGAACATCAAATTTTGACTCTTTCTTCAATTAGGACTTTCTCGTCCAAGATCCAGCCCCTACTTTCCAAGTGCACTCCAACCGAACTCTCCTATTTGCCTTTCTACCTACTTGCCTTTCTATATTTCACTCATCTATATATTTTATACATGTCTTGTAACTTGCAAGTTAAACTTTAGTAGAGAAATGTGGTTATAAATAGAAAAAATGACATATGACACACACACAACACATAACAAAAATAAAACAACCTAAGAATAATGAAAATAATAACATAAGTAAAAAACACAACACATTCAAATATCAACCTCTTGCGCGTGCTCTCTCATTCTTCTCCTTCCTCAATGCCCCGCTGTTCTCTCCCTCGCTCACTCAATCCTCTTCGTCCCTTCTACAGCTAGGGTGGTGGGGTGGTTCAAGCAGGAGCCACAAGCGGACGGATGTGGCAAGGGCAAGCCTAGACAGATCTATTGTGAATCTGTGAGCCAGCACGAGTGGATCTACTACGAGGGTGACATGACGCAAGTAGGACCAGGAGACGGAGGTGATAACCGGTAGGATTTTAGTAGGATTTCGGTGACGGTATTCTCTATGTTAATGTCTCTTTCTTCCCTTCATGGCCCGACAACGTAGGAGTTCCCTATGACAGAAATGTCTAATGTGGGAGGCTTGATGGTTGCTCATGGCTAGATCAGGGGCTCCTACACGTGGGGGTTGAGGACAGAGAAACAAGAGAGCCTTATCCATCTGGGCTTGAATGAGGAGCTAGTTGGAGGTTTGTTTCTGCCTATTCAACCCTTAAAAGAGAGGTAGAGGATAGGACAAGGAATTGGTATTGCTCTTAGGGTTCGCTGGATTTTCTTACCTCATCTAGTGAGGCGAGCCAAATCAACTTGTCTAAGCTAGAAAGAAAAACCTTGCTTGCATGAGAGGTAGGCGAACAAAGTAACCAAACGCACTGCCTATTCTAGTTTCTTACTCAATGTGGCGAGAGGAGCACGAACAAGGGATCCAAGCATGCCTTAACGTATCTACAACACTTGACTAGGTTATATGCCAGTATTTTTTCAGAGGAAAGGGAGAATTATATATTAAAACTCAGCAAATACATCCTACGTGTTGTTTGGTTGGTTCAACAATAACGCAAATGTAAATAAAATTAGTTCAATTGTATCTCTCACTAGTAACGGCTGCAGCTTTAATTCATTTACGTTTGCGTTACCAACGGTAGAACCAAACAGCTTCCTAGAATTACACATAAAAAAACCTAAGATAAAATACATTCAAATAAGCTTAACGAGTTACATCTTCTTTAATAACAAAAAAGATCATCAGAACAAGTTAATTAGTTCCAAAATTCCATATTTAAAAACAAAAGCAGTATTGCTAACAACAGATTTCAGCTGCCAAATTATTACCAAATAATTGATGATGTCAAAGCACATTTAAGCTGGTATAGATCTTGGATATCGTTAAACATTCTCACAGAACGCGTAGAAAACAATATCCTGCTAAATGGTGTAGGCATCGCTTAAAAGATATAGCTCATCCAAAAGGCTGATATTTAAAGCTTTACCTCAATGTACAAAGTAAAGTTTCACCATCTAAGGAACTATTTTACAGGACCTCTCATGCCACATGAGTTAAGATGAAGGGGGAAAAGGTAAACACCAGAATGTTATCCCAACTTTAACCTGTTCTATCTTCACAAAACTTTGGAGATACAGTCACAGCCGGAGTTTCAAGACTAAATATGGCCAGAGCCAGGGGAAGTAGCATGGGATCCCCCTCAGTTAGTCCTTGAACAAAAAGCGGAACATCAAGTCAAAAGGCTATCATAGGATATGTCACGACTTGCTTGCATCTCTATATGCTCCTAGTCACCTATGGCAAAAGTATCGGCGACTGGAAAATAAACCAGAATAACGATACCGACCATAGCAGCAAGCATCAACACAAGGAAGGAAACAAACACAAGAGCCTCATGGACTAATTCACCAGGCCAAGGAAGAACTGATAACCCAAGAAGTGACGCTCGGGGAAGTAATATTCCGGTGGCAAAAATGAGCATATATATCCTTCGCCGGAGTCCCTTGTTGATCACCAAAGACAGCATCTGACGTCCGACAAACATGACATAGACAGTCAAAATGATGTAAAACGCCCCAAGAAATACGCTGCTCAACAGTGGATACGTGCATGTAATGTCGCCGTTGTGGATTGCAGAGGCAGAATACCAGTACTTTGAAACCTTTGATTGCTGACCGTCATCTGAGGAAACACGACCAACGAAAACAACACAAGCTTCCCAGATCAAAGAAGGCGAGCAGAGAATGAATACTGCACGTATAGTCTTCCGGTTCCATTTCCTATTCAAGGTACCAAGCTCTTGCTTCTGCAAAGCTGCACTAAGAAGGAAAGAGAGCAAGAGGAACAATCCTGGTTCTGCAAACCCCAGATTTGAGATGATGTAGAATTTGCACACGTTCACTTGCCATGCCCGGTTAGAGATTAGCCTTCCCTCCCCGTTCACAAAGGTGAGCCTGAGTACCTCGCCAATACCCCACCAGAATGCAACCAGCATCAATGTTATCCGAGTCAGCCATGGCCCGTTGAAGTAGCTAAGCCGCTGGTAGCCTCTTCTTTTGATCCACAGTTGGAAGTACACTGAGCGGCAGAGGCAAATTAGGCCCAAGATGGAGACTATAGAGATGAGAGCAATGGTCACCACACCAATGATATTGGTGAAATATGTGACCAGGTGCATTACATAAAGCACCACAACTCCAGACCACCAAGCATTCTCACTTTTATTATCAACACAGAGGCTGTTCTCACATCCTAGAAACCGAACAAAACACTAAGAAAGGAAACCTGCAAGGGAAAGGGAGCAAGACATTTATCAACAGATGGAACACATACAAAAGTAGGTGAGTAAAGGCGCATTCCCAGTCAGAGCTCCAGCTCTGTGTGCGGGGGTTTGGGGAAGGGTGTCAGTGGCAAGCCTTACCCTCGCCTGTGCAATGCGAGGAGACCGCGACTCGAACCCGGGACCTTCCGGTCACAGGCGGTAAGACTCTACCGCTTGCACCAGGCCCGACAGTAGATGAAACATAATACTTGTCCACGGTAGACTTCAAATGGGCAACAATAACAAATGAAGCTTCCAATCAAGTACTTCATGCTTATCTTTGACATGGCTCTGTCCACCAAACATTGGACGTGTTCAGCGTCACAAGCCTATTACAAGTTTACAACTCCCTTTTGAATTGTCTAACAAAGCTCTGTCTCACTTTCCCTTTGAAAATTTCGGTGACTTCTATGGATGGAACTCCTCTCCAGATCCACCAACTATTGCGTTATGATTAGGGTGATCATTGCTCATTACCTAATTACATATATAACACCAACACGACAGGGAAAAAGAAAAGACGACAGTGAAGACTCCATCAAGAAAAAACTATCCAGATTGATGCAGGATCAGCTGACCTATTCAGAGAGGTAAATCTACTGCATTATCTATAAACGACCTAAGGGTCTTGGCCGTATAGAAGCAAAATTCTCGAAAATTACTGTAGAACTAACAATAAGGTTCTAATATAAGGCACACAATCTATCCCCCGCCCACCCAATTCCTTAGCAGAACCGAACGATCATAAAGTCCGCAGAATAGCCCTAACCGTACGATTCGAAGAATTTCAACTCATAATGCTAACAAATTGAATCCTAGGTCATCAGTTTAATAACGATGCATCAAAATTGCTTCGGAAGAGCAAACGAAGTCGGGAGGTATTTTCATCAGAAAAGAAGAAGTTGGGAGGTAATTTACCAAATGAATTTGCGAGATTGAGCAGCCGAGGAAGCGTCGGTTGAGGTGGCGGCAGAACAATGCATCGGAGCGCCGAGGCGGGGGCAGCGGGATACCAGCGGCGCGCTAGCGAACCCCCAGCGCCAGCGTGTCGGCCGTCGGCCACGGCGATCGGCGACAGAGCGCGCGCCGCGTGGGTGCACTATCTCGCGCCGCCGCTGGGATCGGTATGTGTCCTCCACCCGCAAGGCGCGGTTCGATGTCTGTCCTCGTGAGAATCAGAATTGGAACGGAAAAGGAGGAGACACACGGAAGGGGGAGAGGTGGTTGGTCCAAACAGGACAGTTGCTCACAGCTGTATTTTATTATTTTATTTTATATATTTCCCTATTATTGGTTTTCTAGAGATACGGTTCAGCTGTATTTTATTATATTTTATTTTCTTATTATATTGCTTTTTAGAGATACGGTTCAATTTCGTGAGAAATCCTGGTCAGTAAATCTTTCGCCGTTGTTATACTTACGCATATAATCTGTTGAGATCTCTCGTATATACATTCCATAAAGTATCGCATTCTTTTCTTTTTTTCTCCGTAATAAATATATATGGGGTCTAGCATCGACACTACAAAACTCTGCTATTAGCGGTGTTGCACTTTGCCATCCCATTGACGACACTACAAGTTGCTACTCTTTTCTTCTACTTTGTAAGGGCATCCCAAGCAGCACGTCTAAATCGTCCGCTAACATGCTAGCTAGAAATAGTAAAAAAAAGATAGACATCGAATGCATGTCAGAGACTCAGAAAACTTAGAAAGACATGCGAGCTAGGCTCTTGCGCTCTCGCTAGCGACATAAATTTTCTGATTCTCTCTCTATATGATTGGCTAATCGACGCTCCGAGCTAGCAACATGTCAGTCGTTGGGGACGCCCTAAGAGTGACCGCATTGAATAGACTCCACAATGATTAGACATCATTTGCTATTTGGCTGATAGTGTTTAGATCTAGAATTGGCTCCATAAGTAGGACCTATGCTGACAAAAAAAGACCGTTATGCTCTGCAGTGCCAGTTGTGCTAGATTTTTATATTTTTTTTTATCATTAAGATCCGACTCAGCAGCTACTACTCCATGGATAGCAGCTACTACTCCATGGAAACACCTCTACACTGTAAATGACCTACTCCTATAGCGACATTTATTTATTGTATAGAACTAACTTGGAAACGTCCATTGCGAATGCCCTAAGTATACCACGATATACATTGTTCAAAATAAGGCGTTATTTGCTATAAGTTCTTATATAGCATTTGGTTTAGAAACGGTATGGGATAGAACAATTTCATCTTAGTTTTTGAAATATTTCGTACCAGAACATATTGTTAGAGTTAACCTCAAAGTGGAATATTCCTACAAGGTTAGGAACGGTTGCACCATGCAAAATTTTCCGAGTGCTCTCGTTCCAAACGTCGCTAGCCTTTTATCTGCGTGACCTGCATCTTGATGCTACTGCTCTAGTGTCTCATGTCTTTCTCCTCTTGCTGATTCGGCATGCTGACATGGTAGTTGAGCGAGAGCGCAACGATAGTGGCGAGACGCATGAGCTATGTGTAGGCAGGCGGGTGGTGGTCGTTGTTGGGCCTACGTATGCGACAAGGGTAGCTAAAGGAACAAGATAAGGAAGTGGAGGGTCTTTGACTAACAGGTGGGCCACATGTTGATTTGGGCTAACAAATTTGCATCCTATTTTGCTCGCAAAAAAATTGTATCCATTTATTTGTGCCCCTCCAACGAAACAAGAAAATGGAACTACTCACCTCCAACCAAACAGAGACACGGAACAATTAAAATACAGAATGGTATCATTGCGAAGGATCAAAAAGGGAGGGGAGTAAATGGAAGCATCAAATTTTCTCGCCGAGTAGATGACGATATGGGCTAAAGCTGAACCCAAGCTTCTCTTGTGTATCTCGCTATGATCACGTAGTCTCAACGTACCTAGTGGGCTTAGGAACGAGACTAGAAATAGGTTGAAGCCAAACAAGTGAAGAACGGAAAAAACACTATGCGCTAAAAAAAACACTAAAACACTATAGAAACCAGTCTAACCTATTTCTTCATAAACAACCTGAGTAGGTTTTTAAGAAAAAAAGTAAACTAGTCAAATGATCTCCAAAGAATATGAAATTTGAACCACAACATCATGATAAATCAATATCTATGAGATCTAATTCCAAAAAAGCAAGTTGCAAAAACTAGTCTAACCTATTTAAAAAACCAACATAGCCTATTTCTCCAAAAAAACAGAGGACTAGCTCTAAAATCCAAAACCACTCCAAATCACCTTACAAAATCATGAAACTAGGTCCAAACCTTGACTAACTTATGGCGAAGGTAATCCCATGGAATCTTTCTAAAAATTTCTAGGCTTAACCATGAATTAAAGAACTACTCTCTCAAACCAGGGTGTTCTCAAGAAAGCGCAAAAGGCGGAGTTGAAGGTGGTTTGTGGGAAATTTGTTAAAGGGAAAGCCTAAATATGTTCTCCCAAGACCTCATAACACCTAGAAGCTAGTAAATAACACTCAAGAACTCCAGCTCAAAGATTTTTCATGAAATCTACCAAAAGGGGTAGGAAAAGAGGTTTTTGGAGGAAGGGACTTGGGAGATAAGATTTTGGCTTCAAGCCATGATATAAACAAGTTCCAAGGACCCTAAAACACTCTAAAATTGTGCCTATAACTCAGCCAATGTAGCACACCAAACTCCCCCAAAATACTCATGAAAGAATGAAAAGGATAAATTCAGATTTAGAGAGATGGGGACAAACTTGCACAAGATTGATACTTGGATACCTCAAAATGTTCGATTAAAAACCTCCTATTCTAACATAGATCAAGGATGGCAAAAAATTTAAGAACAAAAAGTCACTTCTGTCTCCCTCTCTTCCTTTAACCTTAGCCTTCTAACACACAAATGAGGGAGACACCTCGAAGGAACAAACCACTTGATTATTTTCCAAAATGTCCTTACAGAAGCACTGAATTCAAATACCCTAGGGAGTAAACCGTCCATATTTTTGTTGGTGGATCAAACAAACTTGGAGCCTTACCTTGACATAAACTTCATGATAGTGCCATGTGTGATCCAACTTGTCACCTTGGTCTTGACCCCTAAACCGGTCAAACCCACTGTTAGTAGTTTTGAGGCCCAAACCACCAAACCATACAACCTAGTTTTGAGGACCGAACTAGCAAACCCACTGCACATCCCACAAAGTGTGACCCACTGATGTCAATGCGTGTCAAACCTCCGCCAATGCCCTAATGCATTTGTTTTCCTCTTTGACTTGATAGACACCATCTTCATCATCTTGATGTAGAGGCATGTCCAGCCTACACCAGGTGTCACAACGCCATCGTCTTCCTCTTTGACTTTACCAATGCCATTTCATCATCCTCTTGTCTCCATGTACTCTTGCTCTTCATGTGAGCAATTGGATCCTCCATGGCCCTACTCGGTCCAAGCTCCCAAGCCTCCTTGCTCGCCCTTCACTACTCTTGGTCCATTGACCTGAAACTTGCTTGATCTTCACCCTTTGTCATCGATCACTAGGACACATCTATCACCTACACTTTCCCACTTCACAAGCCAAGAGACACAACATAGAAGACATGTTTCCCCACACAAAACAACACAACACTACATCGCTGGTTAGTGAAAGGATCTAAATAATGCCTAGAGGGGGGGGGGGTGAATAGGCGTACCTAAAAATTTCTGCATAATCTCAAAGTCAAATGTCAGTGTTAGTCAAAAGTCCCGACAGTTTGGGCCGGAACTTCACGTAGCCAGAAGTTCCGACGCAAACAGCTGGGAGTTCCGGCACCTACGAGAATTTCACTGCAAGTGCTAAAATGAACTTTGAGTGCGAGATATCTTACAACCCCACTTTCTAGTGGTAAGATGAAGTGTTGGGGAGGACACCACTCCGTAGATCCAGTGCAAACCCTAAGAGGAGTGTTGGGGAGGAAGACAAACCAACAAGAACAAATATGATAGCACAAATCTAAACAACAACAAGCACACGGGACACAAGGATTTATCCTGAGATTTGGCGAACCCATAAAGGAGCTCCTATGTCCTCGTTGTTGAGGTGACCACAAAGGTCAGAGTCTCTTCCACCTCCTTGCCTCTCTCAAAGCAACCACAAAGGTCACTCGAGCTTTCCACTAAGAAATCAAGGGTAATACAAATTTCCCAAGGCTATTCCACAAGAAGGAAGCTCTTGGGCGACGCCTAGCCAGCTAGGGTTCCAAGAACCCAAGAGTAATAGACGCAAATCCAACCGACTTGACCAAGAAATCAAGTGCTCAAGCTTGCCAAAGTGATTCTCTCACTCAATCCACTCTCCTTTCACTCAAAACCCTAGGGGAATCGAAGATTAGAGCAAAGAGGAGAGGAGAGGGGTGCCTTGAATGCTTGGGAGCTGCTTTGGACAAAGGTTGGTGAGCAATGAATGAGTGGTTGACGGTTAGAAGAGAGGAGAGAGCTATTTATATTCATAGTAGAATCCAACAGTTCAGATCTGCATCGGAAGTTTCGACACAGATCGCTGAAACTTCCGGCCCTTCTACAAAACACTGTTCATGGCGCAGTCAAAGGTGGTCAACACAGCCAGAGCTGGAACTCCCGGCGGAACATCGAAACTTCCGACAGTCGGGACTTCCGACTTTTGTCGGGACTCCCGATGCACAGTCGAGCCAGGGGGCTAAGTCCCAGGGCATCGAGACTTTCGGCACCCAGAACTCCCGATTCCCATCGGGACTTCCGATGGGGGAAGGTGCGCAGGTGGGCTGGTGGCAAGGTCAACAAGCGTCGGGACTTCCGGCACCAAACGTCGGGAGTTCCGACAGTCAGAACTCCCGGCTCACGTCGGGTGTCTAAGTGTTCGTGAGGTGATTTTGTGTCTCTCTTTTGATTTTATTTTTATGCTTGAGCACTCTATCTTCCTCAGACCGCCTAAACTTGCATCCCTCTTTATAGTACGTCATACCTAAACCCAAAACAAAATATAAAATCTTTCGA